AATCTATACAACATATAGATATAATATAAGGCAATATTACAGTAAATTCTACAACTAAAAATGTTTTTAGTGGAAACAATTCACAAAAACTCAATTATACTGGAAGATTTTTTTTTTTTTTGGTACAGGAAATCGAACCGGGTCCTTGCGCTTGTGAGTCAGGCAGCGGAACCACTGAGCTAAATCCCCAGCCCTATACCGGAAGATTTTTAATATATTATTTTCAAACTGAGAACAGGCTACATCCTCCAAATACGAATGTGATTAATCTAAAAATTGAAAAAAGAAAGTTCAAATGAAAATATCCTAACACATGGAAATTTTAAAGTACTCTCTAAGCCAATAGGAATTTTGAGTGAAATAGAAAATGAAGTATACATTTTTAAAAATAGGAAAACATCATTGCTACTGCAGCATGTCAAATTTATGAATCATAAGCAAAGCTGAACATTGGCACAAATTGATGTTTTCATTATTATGCTAGACCACACATCACAAGCCTACAAATCATGAATTTAGGTGAAGACTGTTAAAACATATATCTAAGAAAGTAGAAGGAAGAAAGTAATGAAAGAAAATTAAAAAATAGTCAGTAAGGTGCCTGAGAAACAAAATTCAAAAATCATTTCTTTAAAAAAATACAATGAAATATGTACTGGATCAGCATAATGCACAACTAAGTCAAACCCAAGAATACAAAATTAGGATTCAGGAAAGAAATATATAATAAATACAAAGCTTAGATATTCTAAGTTTATAAATTTCTCTTTTAAAAAATCTAGACTTTTCTAGACAAAAATTTTAAAGTTGAATCACTAAGCAGATAGATATAGATGGTAGACAGATAGATGATAGGTAGATAGATAATAGATAGATGTATATGTCTGAAAGCTACCTTGACCAATTAAAAACTTTTCAAAGTATTATTTCCTCCAAAAGGCTAACAACATTTTTTCAAATGTAAAAGAAGCAAGTAATGTCCATCAATTTTTGTAATGTTCCAAAACATCAAAAATTGTTTCAGGTTAAATTTATAAGGAAATATAATCTTGGTGCCAGATGGCAAAAGATAAGATTTTATTTGCCAAAAATATTGTATTGAAAAATATAGACTTGTTATTGTGAAAAAAGACTTGTTACTGAGAAATGTGTTCATTGTCAAATAAGTTTGGAGGGAACCAACACCATTATATTGAATAGATGCAATTATGAGACCTATAATTAACTCAGCATATTGCAAAATTACTTGGACACAAAACACTTTTTTACATCACATTTAATATTATTTAGATGTGCTGGTGTACCTTCGATGTATGATACAATCATTGGTCCGCAATAATTTTTTCTTTACATCTCCCTTATTCTTTTTTTCTACTGGTGGACTTTCATAACATCGATAGCAAATGGAGTTGATCTTAATAATAACCATCCAGGCCTCTCCTAGGTCTCCTATTTACACAACTGACTAATAATGTTACATTTCTTGACAATGTAAAAATCAATGTACAGCTATATGTACAGAAATTAGGAGACTGAAGTGAGTTTGGAGACCTGAAGGAAAGCAGAGGGTTATAAGGTCTTCATTATACAAAACGAGGAAACATATCGTCTTAGCATATTTTCTGTTGCTTTAACAAAATCCCTGAAGCTGGCTTCTCTATTCAGAAGAGACATTTATTTTCTGCTAGCATGGCACCAGCATCTGCTTATCTATGGTAAATTCCTTCTTGCTACCTCACGTAGATGGCATCATGGCAGAAGTGTATGTAAGAGGGGGAAATCACATGAACACATGAATCCAGAGATATTCATTGGCCAGGACTGCTGTCTTTATAACATCCTAATCTCATGGGAACCAATTGGGGTTCCTTGAGACCTACATTAACCCCTCCTGAAAGTAGTCCCACAATGACACATCACCTTCCTCTATGCACCATCTCTTAAAAGTTTTACAGCCCCTGGATCTCATCACACAGAGGACTAAGGTTTCAGCACATGAAATTTGGGAAACAACCTAAATCATATCCAAATCACATCACATATGATACTGTTTTTGTTTGCGGAACTCAAAACGGAGTACTTTCATGGTATTAAGGAAATTCAGAATAGTGAGTTCATTATGTACAGATTCCCGGAAAAGAACACAGGACATGTGAGTGAACATCATCCTGATTTTTCAGAGTAAACACTCAAAGACATTGCTCAAAATAGGGAGATCAAGAAAGTGATATGAGCATGTTTTTTAAAGTTATGAGAGTGGCCATCAGAAAAACTAGAAACCAAACTAGTTAGAAATTATTTCTTTTGAGGACTAAAAATGAAAATGGTGTAGAGGATTGTCATTTCTCATTTTAAATCATTTTGTATTACTTCATCTTTATTAGCTATGACTTTTAGTGGCCTTACTGAAAACCAGAGATTTAGGATATGCATTAATAGAGGCAAAGTAAAACTGTATGAATCTTGTAAATCTCAGTTTAAAGCTTGACTCTACCAATTTTTAGAATTTGTTGGGTTTGCACAAATCCATAAAACTCTTTATGCTTTAGTTGCTGACTCTGAAAAAATCAGTAATAATATTGTAACAGAGATTACACTGATCTTTGAAGTTGAGAATTAAGAATATCACCTCAATGTGCACCCACTTAGCTATAAATGTCTCTAATTTCTCATTTTTTATGGCTGAGTAGTACTCCATTTTATAAAAAAAACACATTTTCTTTATCCA